GAAATTATGTAACCGATGATATATCTTTTTTTTTACTCTTTATAAGATTCTTATTTTCGAAACTAATTCGAAAATTAACTGAAAAATACTCTAAATTATGTATAATTCTATTCATTGAGGAAGAAACTCATCGCTCATTTGGACAAAACAAAAATGAAACAAATTTTTCTGAAAAACCGAAAACATTCGGTTCGAAACGTAAAAAAAAGGTAACGTATTAGAATTTTTGTAAACATCACAGGTTTTTTTTGAAGCAAAAAATTTTGCGTAATGCAGTCATTTTATATCATGTGGCATAAATTGCCCTTAATGCTGCATAATTTTTTTTGGAAATCTATTGCTTTTTTTTAAATTACTGGAGCTAAAAAGTTTTTTAAGAATGTTTTCGACAAATGTCATGAGCTGCTTCAAATCTGCAGCCAAATTTAGGGATGCTTTTTTATAACGAAATTGTACTGAAAAAATGGGCTGATAAGTGTATATAAATGACTATACAAAAAATTTCAACCAAAGGATTTGAATGCTAGAATATGAGCAAAAACAGGAATTATAGGAATTTTGAGGACGACCAAGTAGAAGTAGAAATGATTAGTTTACAAAAAATTTATACATCCGAAAAGACAATTTTGCATAAAGTTTTCAGTACACAAAAACTAACAGAATAAATTGTTATATGTATGCATAATTTTTCTGCACAAGTTATAATTAAATCTAAGGGAGTCCAAAAAAAAGCTGGAATAGTTCTTATACAATTGGAATCTTAGTTCTTGGAATCTTATACAATAATGAAATGCAGACTATGATTAATTTTTGAATTAATTCGAAGTTTTGTCTGTTTTTTAGATTGTGAAAATTTCAAAATGCGCAAAAGCATATGCTGTAAGACCAATGATTTCACAGTTTTCAGCGCATGGTTTTTTATGCGAAAATCAATAGTTCTCATAGTTTCCTCCCATATTCAATTCATCACAAGAAAAGCATGTAAATTGATTTTGTCTCTTAATCTTTAAAATAGCTCTTTATATGAGTAGTTTTCAATCTGCATATTATTCAATGCTCAGACCGTTGAAAATGGAGATGAGCTTTGTGTTCGTGAGCATTTCGATTTTTTTCTGTTATTTTATTTTGTTTTCAACGCAAAATCAGGTCCCACAAATAGTCTTCGGAAGGTTTCGAATGATATTTTATACAAAAAAAGCTTTCAGTTGTGATTCAAACGACCTTGAAATGTTCTGAAAAATTTCCAAAAGTCGAAAAAAAAAAAACGCAAATTTTTTGGTCTAGTTTCGAGCAAATAAAGTGAGTGAGCACGCTTATTTACACCTATTTTAAGCTGTTTTTGATAGGTTTTTGTACCGAATTTAAGTTTAAATAGAGTAAAAGTTTTATAGGTCAGTTTTTCTGGAATCAAAATCCTCAAAAATTCAATTTTTTGTAATGTTTTTGTTTTTAAATTTTCTAGTCATTTTTCTACAAAAAAAAACATTTTTTGAGGTTATTATGACTATCAATTATGCCTCAGTTGCTCAGTTGCTAGATGCCAAATCAGACAGTTTTTGAAAATCACACTTAAATAAAAACAAAAAGTGTAACTTATTGTATATGGCTTGGATGTTGAACAACGTGGCCATTTTTTTCCGACAGATTTAGGCTAAATGTTTTTATCTAAGCTGAAAGTTATAAATTTTGCTATCTCAGAACAACTTCAAGGATCACAAACAAGACTAAAAGGATATCAAAGTTTATGAAAAAGTCTGTGGTTAATCAATTGCAAAAAATTTATATTTCGAGCGCAAAAAAATGGAAAATTTTTTTTGTTTGTTCATAAAATTGTTTTAGCGATTAAATTAGGATTTTTTTGTTTTGGAGTTTCGGAATTCTTATTGGAAAAAAAACAATTTTTAAAACTAAAACTGAAAGATAAGAAATGTTTGGTCCTAAAAAATTAAAGTTTTAATGATTAACATTTGATTAACATTTGATTAAAAAATTGATCAATTAAACCAGATTTAAACTAATTTAAATTTATCGATAAACCCTGAAACTTACCCAAAAACCTAATTTTTTTTGTAAAAATATGTGGAAAAAAAACTGATCATAGGTTTTTCATAAACGGAGAATTTGCTTTTCAGAATTGTTTGATACGCATTTTTTTGCATGGCATTGTATGAAAAGCATTTGTTTGTATGGAGGTAAGCCCGGAAAAACACATGCAAACTTGGGTCACTGGGCTACAAAATGTAAGTAGAAACTTAACTTCAACAATCAAATGAACAAAAGGTTGCTTATTAACTTGTGAATATATTGGCTCTGAGAAAGTCAAACACAAAAACTCAATTAAGTGATTGGGAAATGTGAAAAAGAGTACTGTTATTCTTTATTGATGATTCTTGGTTTGACAAAATTCTTTATTATGAATTTCCATTGAAAAAATTTGGATAAAAAGTATAAGGTTTTACGGTAATAGTTTTTTTTTCAAACTATGGTGATATAATTTAAACACTGAAGGAGAAATAATAGTTAATTTTTTTTCAAAAAATGTAGGCTGTTTCGTAAATGATTTAAGCTGAACCTAAAATGAAACCTATATAAACCAAAACTCATCATAATGAAAATAGAAATTTGGATTCACACAAAATGCCAGTTAGTTGAACAATAAAATTTCAATGTTTGACATCTAAACTGTCATTAAATTGCTCTCGCTACAGACAGAAATAAGTCAGACAGAATCCTTAAAACAGTTTTTTTTTCAAAAAAGTTCAAAAATTGTATAACAATCATTTTCCTTGGTCTCCATGAATGCAATTTTTTGCAAGGGATCTTTCTCTGAGTATATTGTATGAACATAGTCAGCTGACATTTGGAAAAGAGTAAGGAACTCAAGGAAACTGAAAAAAAAACTGACTTGTTTTTTTTTTCAAGTTCTTTCAGTTTTCAGTTTTTGAATTTCGAAGAAAAAAGTAGAAGGCCTTGAAGCTCTTTGAAGTTGAAGAACAACTTATGATGGACATTTTTTTTGTTAAAACTAATACAACTTGAGAAAACTTTTTTTTTGCTGGGAAATCTGATAGTTGTTTTCCATTTTCGAAATTAGAAGTCGATCAAGTTTTTTTATGTCTTTTACAATTTTGCTGTTCGATATTGGAGTGTACCTTCCGTACAACAATGGAAATGCACTGATCTTAAAAAGAAATCAAATTTCAAACTGCAAAAAATCAAAATTGAGCTTGAACAATTTTTAAGATGTTTTTCTGAACAAAAAAATCACCAAGACCTATACTGAGTTCATTACCTTTCATAAAAAATGTTTTCTAATCGCGTCACTGACGAAAAATTTTTTGACAAAGGTTTAAATAACGATTTTTTAAAAACTGTTTAAATTTAAGCAACCATTTTGGATGTTTTTTTTTGAAAGTTTAGAAAATTTTTTTGTCTGCTGGACTATATAGAGGATTGTAGTCATTTTGTAGGGCTCTGAAACAATTTAGTAACCCAGTTTTTGAAACAAATTACGTTAATTTTACAAGAATATAGTTTATTCAGTTTGGATTTTCATTTTTGCGCCTTTTTTGCGTCTTTCTTTATGGTTGCCATTAACAAAAGTTATCAAATCGGGTAATGTATTTTTTTCTCGACTGTCGAATGAAAACACTGTTTCCAACTGCACATATTTGATTGAATTTCAGTGCGTATCTTAATTTTTGAAAAAATTCACTACGAGACCAAACTGTGCACTGAATAGGCGCAGAATTTTGTGTCTGTATGTTCCCGGATTCCAGAGACAAGTCTTTAAAGATGTTCTAAAATTTCAGTGGATTCCGGGTACGAAAACTTGTTACGTAAATTTTGTCGACACATTGATTTAGTGAGGATTCCGCAACGAGTGGATATAAGTAGTTGTTCCAGATTCCGCAACTTTAAGCGGACTTTGCTTACAATTTGCGGATTCCGCTTACAATTTGCGGAATCCGCTTACAACTTGCGGATTCCGCTTACAATTGCGGATTCCCCGACAGCTTCAGTTTACAAAACACATATATTAGTTATTGTTCTGGAATCCGTAAAATAGTTCCGGATTCTACACATTTTGTTGCGGATTCCGCAAATTTGCCTGTTTGGGAAGCGATTTTGAGCAATACATTGTTTCAGCTATTTGTCCGTAGAATCTAAAACAGGGTGGAGATTTAAAAAATAGCAATGTTGCGTATTCCGCGACGAATCTGATATTTTGCCTGTTGCAGAATCCGCTTACAATTTGCTCACATTGTTATGAGAATTTTTCAAGAATATGCAAAAAAGATGAATTTCCTACGTGTAGGTATCAAGGAATGAAGTGAAAACAATTTTTACGGGCGTTTATTGTTTATTGCAGATACCATACTTTGTTGCACGCAGCTCAAGTTTAACTTCGATGAGCTTGAAAAGAAATGTTGATGCCTTGAAAAAAAATTTTGATGTCATGGAAATACTCATAAAATCCATGAAGAGTTCGATGAAACCACCTCATAGAGCTGTTTGGGTAGAGTAAGTTTTCAATTCAATTTTCGTATTATGGAGAAGATAAAGGAGAAGAATTATAATTTGATTATGGGTTGAAGGGAAATCAGTCATGATAAAGGATCTTCTTACCAACTTCTCATTTCATTTTAGTGTTATCTTGGTAAATAACAAATAGATTTTAAATATCAATCGCTATCAAGCCAGAACAAACTTTTTCAGTTTCTCAACACTTCTAAGAGAAGCACTGAATCGTTTAGCCATTTCTGGTCATATAAGTGTTTTGAGCATTTCTGCATTTTAAATTTCCATTTCGGCCCAATTTTGAAACTATTTCTTATAAGTAAAAAATTACTTGTAAGAAATAAAAAAAAATAAAAAAAACTCAAACTTACAGCCTATAGCAGCCATCATATGATCCAGCAAAGCGTGTAAAATTGTTCCTTATCGGAAAGTATGAAATGATTTTAAGCGTTAAATGATTCAAAAATGACTGCCAAAAATGGGGAAATTGTTAAGAAGAACCCTGAAATGATCTTTCAATTGCGTTGCTTCTGGAAAGTTCAATTTCGGATTTTCATTGTCAATCCACGTTTGAAAGCAGCGCGCATGGGTTTCAACAGTAACAGAGTAGGACTTCTGGAGATGACTCCGATTGTATTGACCAGCTGACCGATCGACATGAAGAAAAGGTGTTCGTTCTCGGATTCGGCGCCGACCACCCAGTAGGCGAAGAATACGAAGCCGTTCGTAATCGACCCGAACACTGCATACAGAGCCGAAGTGCCAGTGAGTGCCATAATGACCTAGGACAGATTTTCCCAGTGCAAGTCTCCGATAGCATTTTTTGCATCATTTTTGTATTTTTTTTCTGCGTTTGTATGAAATGCATACTTTATAAAGAATAAATACATGCTCGGGGAGGACATTCTACATTAGATCATTTGGGAGGGGGGGGGGATTGTACTACGTTTGATCTCGAATCTGCTTACTTTACTTTTAAATCCATTGTTTGAAGCGATTAAAATGCTTTTGTTCTCTCGATAGTAGTAAAACTGCAGATCTTTCGCTACAAGTTCTAACCTCTTTATCGTCAGTTGAGCTTTTCGACTTCTTGTTGCGGCCATGAATGATGTACAACAGCGCCAGAGTCGCCACTGACACAATCCCGATCGGCGGAATTCCGAGTACACCGAGGACATTATCGACGAGAAATCCATACTCCTCGGCAGAACAGTGCACGTAAGCGCCATTGTCAACTCGGTTTACCAAAAACGACGTGGGCAGCAGTATGAGCCCAATGATTGAAACTATTAGTGCTAACAGATACCACGCGTTTTTAGTTGTGCCATTCTCTTTGTACCTGAAAAACCAAATTAAATAAACTGTTTTTTCGTTTGTCAAAGATTTAATTGTGTCTTAAAGAAAATCACAGAGCAGCTATCAGTAGGTTTTAACGGGCCTGTCTAAAAATATTCCATTTTTATTGAATTTTCAAAAAATTGAGTCGTTCCGACCGTTTCAAGAAAGTGTTTTTTTTTCTTCCAGGTTTTGCCTGCCTCAAAAAAAACTTGCAAGAAACCCATCTTCGTTTTTGTAAAAAAAAAAGATGAAGTATCAAATGTTGCTATAAGGAAACTTTTCAACAAAACTTTGTTTGATATTACCAGTAAAGACTAAATTGTCATGGTTGTTTCATGGTTTTAATTGTCGTATGTCCTTTCTCTCATCTAACATTCATATGTGTAGCAAAAATTTTGGCTACTATGAAACATAAAAATGGTAGTTTTTTTGTGGCTCTACAATTTAAAAAAAAATTTTTGACCAGGAGCTGATCTAGGAATTTCTCGAAGGTATATATAACCAGTATATTCTGCTCAAAGTTTAAGATTGAATTGTTGTAACTTAGAACCTGAATGTGTTTTATTATATGATAAGTCCTAATTTGATGATTATATTCCAGAATTAACTTCATCGCATTCTAGTTATTTGTTTAACTGACTTTACAAAATAATACCTAAGCACCTAATCTGCAAACCTCAACTAGTTTTCATTACACTTTACTGTATTGATGCATAGACTTTTATACAGTAATTGAAGTGTTCTTTCCTCTTTTTCAGAGGAAAATGGCGTTTAAAAAACAGAAAAGGAGCCGACAGAACTAGGACGAAAACCCGGAACCCAAAAAAATTAAAAATTGTTTTTAAGAGATAATTGCGACTTGAAATGGCCTTGAACTAATTACTACTTAAGTGATAAAACTTTTAATTGAACTTAAAGAAAATCAGAGAGCAGCTATCAGTAAGTTTTAACGGGCCTGTCTAAGAATATTCCATTTTTATTGAATTTTCAAACAATTGAGTCGTTCCGACCACTTCAAGAAAGTTTTTTTTTTCTTCCAGATTTTGCCTGCCTCAAAAAAATTTGGAAGAAGTTCAATTTTTTTTAAGTTCAATTAAAATTTTATCAGGCATTGATCAAGACATAGATAAACATGCCATACAAATTTCAAGCTACTTTCAAGAAAATGATTAAGCCAGAAGATCCTCTAGAAGTGAATATCCTCAATTTGTTTTTGGTATGGAACAGTCCTAGAGCTCGAAATTAGGTATAAACGATTTCGCCTACCTTTTCTACTAAATCGTTTTGTTTGAATAAGAAATCAGACATTTCATCGATGATTCAGTATATTATAAAGCCAAGCTGTGTATTGGATAAGATAGGCGCAAATTTTTGTGTCTATATCTTCCTGGATTCCAGAGACAAACGTTTGATCAAGTTAAAATATTGTTCGAGTGGTCGAAGAAACTTAAAGAGCAAAAGAAGAGCAACGGGTACGTACTTGTTGCGGAACCCGCTTGCAATTCATAAACTACACGGTTTGGCCACCTAATGTAACGTTTTTTTTTGTAATTAGTTCCGGCGACGACAAAAACAGTAAATTTGTTGCATTCACTTATCATGCTTCAAAATATGACGAATCATTTTTATGTTGAGCGTTTTCGTCTCAGTTTTTGGAGTGGGCTCGAAAATGAGCACACAGCAAAACTAAACACCCGGGTTGACCAAAAATTTTTATCTTACAATTTCCATATATGAAAAAGTCTTTTTGTCATACAGTTCCATACTATTCCGTACGTACAGAAAATTGTATGAAAATTTTATGATAAGTACTTTTCCATAAGCCAAAAAATTGATTTGTTTTGTTATATAGTTTCTGAAAACTTTTGGGTTTGTGTTCTTGGTTTACTCAAAACACCAAAGTTTGGACGGTCGTGCATTTACAATGCATAGAAAACCATCTGAATTATCCTAAACCTGTCTTTCACATTCATATAACGAAAGTAACACATTTTTGAATTTTGGCAAAATTTTTCAATGACCATTTTTAAAATTTGAATTTTAAAATTATCAGGCATTGATCAAGACATAGATAAACATGCCATACAAACGAAATACGAGTTTTCAGCGCTTTTGAGAAAAAAAAATTTAAGTAAAAACAATCTGACATAGTGTTTCCAGGACTACGTTGTGCACACAAAAAATTGTTTTTCGAAACTAAAATAACGAAAAAACCTCAAAACAAAAAGCCACAAAATTAGAAAAAATATATAAATACCGACAACAAAATGTGAGAGAACTGGTGCCCCTTCTGTTGACAATGTCTGACAGTTTGCAACAATCGACATCTCGCAAACTTTAATTAAAGCGACAACTCACATTACTCAATAGTGAGGTCGAAACGCAGTTTTGGTAAGTAGCGTCCGCTTGATCCGATGTGCTTAGTAAGGGAATAAGTAAGTGATTATATTAAAGCGGGTATCCTAGGGGCATAGGTGTTTGCCGCTAGTCAAGATTGTAATGAAGAACCTCGATTCAACTTTTTGATGCTAGCACTCTTGGTTTTACGTGTTTTTTTTTAGCTGTGAAATTTAGCTAGTTGTGTTTTTTCGCGAACTGTCGCTTCTACCCCAACGGCAAAAAATTGGCAAATCGAAATTTTGATTTAAAATGGCTAGCAGTTTCATTCGATGATCCAATTGCTAATACAGTTGCGCTAAAAATGTGCTGCTTAGATTTTCAAGAAACTTTTACGGTTCGTCAATGCAATGTTGACCTACTCATCTAGTCGACTGCAAAGAAAACCGTTTTTTCTTCTCTTCCTGCAATTTTTCTATTATAATCTAGTTGTTTCTTGTTGTTTTTGTGTTGTTTATTGAAAATTTTTTCTATTGTTTTCCAATCTTGATGACCATAAAACGTCTTCTTAGATGAACGAAAGATATTGGAAGTTTGCAGAAAAACAAATCATCTCCGATTTGATTAACAAAACTCTCCAAATAAGTCCTCTTTTGCATACTTTTTACAGAGTATGTTGTGATTGTTCTTATTCATTTATCTTTTCTAATTAACTTGTCTTACATGAACTTAGTTTATAGAAAGTGACCTCCTTCGGAGTGATCGAGCTTCAGTGTTATTGTGTCTTATTTAGAGATAACACAAGTTTCAGTTGAATTCTAATTCTTAACTTTTACTCTTTGTAAGTTAGATTAGATAAAGTTTTAGTTTTTTTTATTATAGCGCAGTCACATTAAACGAATCTAGCATGAGGGGAGTATCCCCATTCTGGCAATCGCATACTAACGATGCACCAACCCCGTGGAAAGTTTGGAGGGCTATGTTCCCATTGGCTTTACTAGCCAAAGAGAGTATCGATATAGACAATGTTTTAAACTCACTCGAATTCCTGAAACCGGAGATCTTACAATTGGACGAAGAGCCTCAGAACGATCCGACGACGGCTAAAACGGAACGTTTAGCAAGGAACTCAGAAGAAAGAAGCAGATTCAACAACTTCGAGAACACCCGAATCAAGTTGGAAACAAAAACATTTAAGGAAATGCGGATGGAAGAAGCTGACAAGAAGATTTGCTCTATGCAATACCTAGCACCTGGTAGTGAGGGTAGGAGAACTTTATCACAAAAGTTTTCTAAAGTCAAAATCCTACGGATAAACTTCCTTAAATTTGGGATTTCCTAAGCCAAGCTTTTATTAGAAAACCCAACGAAGCATTCAAACGTCATAAGCTACTTAATAGACGGCAGGGAGATAGAGAAACTTTGGAACAGTTCTGAGGCGCTCTAGCAGAAATGGCGAAGAAATTCGATGCATCCAGCGGAGAGAGAAATGGATTCGCGACATTTTTATCAACAACATCAAAACCTACGAAATCCAGAGGAAATTTTTGACCAAAAAATTCTCCCCAGAAGAATTAAATGTCCCCTTATTTGATGAGAAGATAATCTCTAACCATTTGAAAAGGATAAATAATTTTAAATCCTCTGACCCTCTAAATAATAATGCTGTAAAAACCATCCGAATTTTAACAAACGAGAACCAACTTTAGCAGTTGACAGAGGAAGGTCATGTATGAAATTCGAAGTAAAAATTTTAAAGGGACATCTTGCGATCTGTCCGGCGAATGTCGCGAGTTTTACAACTTGTAATTTTAAAGGACATTTCACGCAAAATTGTTAATCTCGAAAAAACGTAAAAATTGTAAAAAAAAAATAGCGAAATTGTAGATACAGAATTTAGATACCTGATTGTCTCTAGATTACCAGATTGTAGATACCTGTTGTAAATATCCATGTACATCACGAATACTGCGGTGTAATTAATGCATGGTCGGAAACAGGACAAAGCGATAACGACGATCCTTCGGTATTAAACGTGACTACGATATTCGACAACGATAGAAAAGAATTGGAGAAACTACTTTACATTGGATTGAGAAAGGAAAACTTCGTAAAACAAATTGTACAGGTGGATTCAGCAAGCCTAGTTCCAGTAAGTTTTTTGAAAAAAATTATTACTCAAACTTAAACAAGGCGATCCATATTTGCAAATTAACGCAGTCGATCAAGCTACGAAAGGCCTTTACTGTGGCTTTACGAATTACCCGATAAAGATTGTGTGACAAGTCATTGTACCAAAAAGATCCAACGGATGAACGTACGACACTACAGCTTTCTTTATAACCGATGCGCGCGAACGAAACATCCTTGGAATTGACAATCTAGCACACTTCGGAATAGAAGTCGCACAAAAAACCTTTCCTCACTACAAGAACAGCTTTAAAAATAAGTCGTTTATAAATTCCGTCGGATTAAATAGAAAACATTTTCAAGAACTTCCACAAAACGTTTTAACAGAGTCGGTGAAAAAACTCAAGATTACTCACTGTCATGACTTACTGAAACCCATAAAATTAAAAGGGCGTAGGGTTCCGCTACATTGACTTCCAGCAGTAAGCAAAGAGCTTGACAGCCTAATTTCCGAAGGACACACTAAAAAGCTAG